GCAGTGGGTTTTTCTTTCCAGTTTCTCAAAAGCCTGAAATCCTCCTTTATTTCAACATGTTGCCCTCGGAAGATGGGTCAAAGCTAAGCTTTTGTTACTTAAAGGACCTTGGCCAGCTCTCTTAAATTCCTCGTAAATACATTTCACTTTCTCCCGAGGTGAAAGGGATGATGCCAGCGGGTGTGTTCCTGGAGGAAGGGCACGCTTGCTCCATCCCAGGACCCAGCGAGCACCCTGGGCTCCAACTCCTGCCGGCTCTGTGCCACTTCCCAGCGTGCCCAAGGTCAGCCAGGATAAACACAAGGGAGGAGTTTCCTCTTTTTAGAAAGAAGGATTTGACTTTTCCCTGATAAAATGCAAGAGAAAACCACCCCCAGCAGAGGCGTTGCAACTCCCATTGCGTCGTCCACAACGGATCGAGCTGCCCGGCGCTGGGAATGGGAGAGAAACCATCAGTGCCGGCGCACCCTGCGCTGGGTTTTACGGCCGGGGAGGGAGTGGGAGAGGCACAGTCAGATGGGCCGCTGGCCACCAAACCTCTCCTGTGTCTTGCGGTCAGTTTAGGCACGATGGAGAGATGTGACAGTCTGAGGGGGGCTCCTGGGTTTGCCGGTGGGTGAACGCCGTACCCATCCTCTGCCCTGGCTGAGTCCCTGGTGGCGTTGCGGGGGCAAGGGACAGCACTGGGCTGTTGAGTCGGATGGGCTTTTTGGAGATGGGTGGATGCACTGTGCCCATCAACTCTGTGCTCCCCAGGCACCAAAGCACCGATCAGTTCAGAAACCGTAATCCCTTGCTGTAAAACCTCGGAGGTGGTGAGGGGAAGAGTTTTGTCCTGAGTAAGTCCATGAGGCAGGCGGGGAGCGCTGTGTAATGAACCCCTCAGCCTGACGGTCGCCTCCTCTTTGCCTTCAGCAGGCTGGGCCGATAAAATAGTCGGCAGGGTCTCATCCTGCCCTCGGGGCAGGAAGATGAGCATGGGACTGCGATGCTCCCCGCGATGGCACCTGATAGTTTGCATCCTTGGTTTGTAGAGAGGTTCCTTGCTGGGGTCCAGTGAGAAAACACATCTTGAAAGACCTTTTTCTTACTGCACATATATATTCCCCCCACTGCTACCCCCATATTTACATACTTGTTTTTCCTTCTGGCCCCTTGACTTGTCTTTCCCG